GGCTGGCATGTGGTGCTGGGGATCGAACCGCGGTCCCTGTGCTTTGCCAAGCTTGTTTCAAGTAGGTGCTTTAGACCACTGAGCCATCTCTCCAGCCCTACAGTTGCTTTTCGATGCCTCCCTCCCGCTGCCCAGCTCTCTAACGCGGCGGCCTTTCCCCCCGCAGGCGCCGACTGCCTCATGGGCGTGTACTTGTTCGTCATCGGAGCCCTAGACCTCAGGTTCCGCGGACAGTACAACCAGCACGCCCAGCTGTGGACCGAGAGCACGCACTGCCAGCTCGTGGGCTCTGTCGCCGTCCTGTCCACAGAGGTTTCCGTCCTGCTTTTGACGTTTCTGACTTTGGAAAAATACATCTGCGTCGTGTATCCTTTCAGGTGTTTGAGACCTCGCAAGTGCAGAACCGTTACAGTTCTGATCCTCATTTGGATTGCTGGGTTCGTGGTGGCTTTCACGCCCCTCAGCAATAAGGACGTTTTCAAGAACTACTATGGCGCCAACGGCGTGTGCTTCCCTCTGCATTCAGAGGGCGCAGAGAGCACTGGGGCCCAGATTTACTCCGTGGCAATTTTTCTTGGTAAGAAATCTGGCATGAAAAAAAAAAGAAATCTGGCATGACCAACACTTTCATTCAAACGCTGAGATAACTCATACTATAAAACTCACGTCTTCTAAAGTTTGCAAGCTTTTATTTCAAGGCTTTTACTCATTTTTCCCCACAGAAAGTTTGTAGAATTCTGTCCGAATCTCCAGTGGACATTTTCCCCTAATCACTGCTTTATCTTATCAGGTCCAACCTGACAGACTCAATAAAACACTGATCACTTGTATGTCATGCTTTAACCCTAAAAATAAAAAGTAAAATGTGCTCTGGCTCTCTCATAAAATATGGGCATAATTTATACAACAATAGGAAGCAAGGCACTTCTGATCTTTTGGAACACATGTGCGTAGCTGACTAATCACTCACTCAGTAGTACACATACAGCTGCTCTACACCACCAATGTGAGCAATTCTCAACATGCAGCACAAAGTAATTACATTATTTTTTAAAATTCCCTGGTAGAAAGCATAAGATAAGCGCATCCCTGGCAAGCGCAAGGGCCTGAGTTCAATCCCTGGTTCTGCAAAAAAAAAAAAAAAAAA